GCATAAAAAAATTATATCACCTCAATTTTCCACAGTATAGATATAATCCTTTCTTTATCTATGCAATTACTATATCAAATGGACGAATAAAGTGAACATCATATTTACAGTTTAGGTAAAGCCAATAAAAAATGACCATCATACAAACCGGTAAAATGATAAAAGCACCAGACGTGAAAAGTGTGTAAAATAAAAACAGAAATTTAATTTGCACAGAACGTAATACGATTTACAGTCACTCTTAGGAATTAAGCATGTCTAAGCTAAGATCAGCAAATAAAATTTAAAACTTAACAAACATTACGAAAATATACTCACTAACTGTATAACAAGTATATTTTAACTCAGCATAATCCACTAACTCAGTGAATTTGTCTACTCCCCGGTATACTCAGCTGAATTCCCTTCGATAAAAATAGTGAAAAATAGACCATACAATTTCCGATTAAAACGTAACTATAGTGCATTACGAAGTCATAATTACTGACCAACATTGGGCTAACATTTTTTTTCAAAATGAAACAAAAATATTCTTTAAAAAAAATTCATAACCAGTCAGTTTACGAATGCTGAATTCTTTTTTGTTTTACAGATTATCTAGATTTCTAGGATAAATAACAGTGAGGGGCATTGACCCCCCATTGTGTACAACCTATTAAGAAATAGAATTTGTACTATAGCTTAATAAACGAAGATTGGTAAAAAAAAAGCTCAGTCTCTGAAATTCCAATTCATAAGTATCAACTACATTTCAAGAGGTAAACGAATACAAGTGACAGTGTACTGAAAGTATTCAAAAAACAGTCAACTTTTTTGTACTGCAAACTCATTACCAACAATTTGTGTGCTAATTTCAAGCTAAGTCATCTTTATAAATGTACGATAGACTTCATCACCTGTCTTAAAGGAAAACTTTCGTCTTTGAAAACGTAAGTTCCTATAACTTAGCTTTAACTCACTGGACCAATTACACTATACCCAAAAAAATATTATTACAATTATTATTGTGGTGTTAACAATCTTAATATGCACGGAAAAATATTATAGCTTTAATTTCTTTCTTTTTTTCACCATAAATATTAATGGTCTCCAATATAGCTGTTCACAGATATACATTCCCACGTAATAAATACTTTAGTGATCCTTGCAGATGACTGCCAAGGATTTTAAAATACATTTTCATGGAGCCATAAACCATATTACTGCAGCAGAAGTAATTATGTTCATGACTTTACAGTACTTCACTATACAGTACAAAGATGTTTAACTTATTCGAGAACTATACCATGAGTGCTGATGAACACAATAATTCGATTTTGTGAATTCAGTACATGCATTTGTACAACAGAAAAAAGTAGTTCTAGGTCTTTACTTATTTACGCGGTTGAGTTAACTGTAAGAGGTCTTTAAAAAAATAGTCTATACAGGTTTTAGAACTGCTGTTGAAGAAACCAACAAAAAAGTAATGAAGCTTGTAGTTCCCTTCAAAGAGAAGGACTGTATTTGCATAGTCAACCACGATCAACGATATCATATTAAATTTAACAAAGATAATGGATTTAACAGTGATAAATGACATTTCTTATGATATCTGATATAAATAAAACCTATTCTCGTAGCAACTAGTATAGGGTACCAATAAAGTACTTATCCTTACAGAGACAATAATCTATTTAAAAGCCGTTTGCATTAGAAATCATTATCACCTAGAGAATCAGTAAAAAACCAAGAAGCATTAGGATGCTTGTTTGGTCTCAGTTTGGGATCATTTAGTAGCACGCACCTGTGGTTGAAAATAAGAGTATTTTTTCATTAGATGTTAATTCTTTATTGGATAAGGTGCACATGTCCCAGAACTATTAGCCTTTGTGATTGCACATCGTTTAACAAGTTTTCATACCCTATTTTTTAAATTTTTCTGAAAGTGGTTCTGCTATTACATACTCACAAAATTTATTTAGCGTTTGAAGGTGAACACTTCTGACGATTTGGTGTTGTTATTGGATGACCCCTAGGACCGTTACTACTTATTTTAATCTGTCTAAAGTTTGGCAGACGATCAGATCATACAGGTTTCTTCTTAAAAGATATATGTCAACCATATCACAGCAATATCTGACAGAGCGAGGATGTGGTCAGTTTACTGGGAAAATGCAACACTGGGAAAAAAAGAAAATAACAACCACTTACCATTCTTAGAATCAAGAAGGTGACCATTTTAAAAAACCAGCGACTTACGGGAAGTCTGCGATTTTTGTCCGATGCAGTAGAAGTGAGACTCAACGAAATACCTATCTATCAAGATCCATCATACCAGTATAACAGATAACATGGATGAAGCTATCAAATTACTGTCTGAAACGATTATAATAACCGGATATCCATTTAAGTCTTAAGACCGTTGTAGAAGTCAGCTAACAAGAAGACTAAACCTATACCTAGTCCAAAGAAAGTGTTCTTATCATTCTGTGGAACAGTACAATTTTGAGACGGATATCTATCATCAGTAAAACAATATCATGCCACAAAGCTTATTGTTGTTTAGAAAGCCAAATAAAGGCTTCTTTAGAAACCTCACCCTATTGTGTTTACTACTTTAGATATGTTGACACATACGTAGCGAGAAGTAATTGAGATCGGAATTTTTACAAGTTCAAGCAGGCGATAACTATTTATTCACGGTTAAACATATAATAGAAACGCATGACGAGTAACATCTAAACAGCTCATAAATATGTTTTATATAGAAACAACGAGAGGTGTATACTAAGATGTGTGGCAGTAATAGTCATGAACAAACTGCAACCGACTTGGTGTGTACAAAAACAAGTCTTTGCACTACACCTATTTGCTAATCGTTAGGTGATTTTAGTACCGAGAAAAGTGTCAAATTTTGCTATTCTTCCTTTGCTATCTTATTCCAATCCTCTAACATCATAATGGTTTTGTTGTGCTTCATATTTTCCATTTACATATAAACTGATTTGTAAAATGTGATCAGCTTGTTCGAAATGTATTGCGCAAATAAGTCACATTTTTTTGGGATACACTTTGTTTTCTATCCAAACTTAAAAATTAATGAACACAAATAACTGGTTGGAGCAAAGTTGTACATTGATGAAACATAGAATAAACTGAGGTTTCCGATTAACCGAAAAGCTACTTAGAAGCAAAATAAGTATGATATTAAAATAATCTAGTTGAAAGGTCCCTGCTAAAAGATATTCAATAAACAGGTATAAAGTAATAAGGTTTACAATGTAAGGAGTACATCTAAGCTATTTTTCACTCGATTTTAAGCATACCAACAATAATTCTAAGTTTGGTGTATGTAAACTAAAAAGTATTTAGATTCTAGAACAAGGTAAAGCAACGATCACTAGTCTAGGTATACTTTTACAATGATTGTCAAATCAACCACTACTGTATGGGATGTAGAAACTGGTAAGACGTCATGCATATCACGACTTACTGACTCATTCACCTACTTTAAATCAACCAAATACTGTACTTTGAAATGAATGACTGAATAGTTTTAAAAGGCTTCTAAGTCAACAGTAAGCTGCAGCATGTTACTAGGCTAATAATAATAACGATATATTTCGTTAATATAAGTGTAAAACATGGGCACTGTAGTAGAATTTAATTCCATAATGTGATATGATTATGAGCAATAATTTATGCTTGAAACGTCATCAAGTGAATAGTACTAAATCACTATGTGTTATAAATCAAATAAACAAATCTAATATGGTAATAATAATATAGACCGTAGGTTTTAAGTATCGGAAAAAAGTTGATTTCCAATTAATTTAATCATTTCAAAAGTGAAATGCCGTTAGCTCAATTGACAAGCAATAAACTTCTACTCAAATTAATATCTAGGTTACAACTCTATAAAAAGTGCAATCAAAGGGATGTATTTGGTAATGCAACCATATTATGTAGCACGTAGGTAAACGTCTTTATAAAAGCCTCCAGAATATATTCATGTTACAACATCTATAGTTTAGATACTTTTGTATAGCATAGAAGCTAGATTATAAACCTAAGAAGACCGGGTTTTCTGACCATTCATGATAGTGTATATGCGATGTATCCTACAATATATTCCAAAAATTACAATTTCCAAAACATTCTCAAATATGTCAGGTGAGAATTCAGTAGTGTACAAGAATAATACTTTCTTTTGCACTCGTAACCAATGTTCTAATAATACCTGCTAATTTACTGCACCAATCTGTATATTCATAACTGGTTATACTACAGTGACTTCATGTTGACACACATGCATACACACATCTGGACTAAATACTCCAGTTAGCATATTTATTAAATTATCAGAAGAAACCATTAAGGTATAAAAACAGATGATAGATTGCCAAATATCATACACATTGGGTTCCAGTTGTTACATCAATGAAAAACAGTCTGTGAAGAGTATAGCGTGTGGTTCATCTGGTGCATTCCATGTGCTAACTGCATGTTTATGCACCGCCTGTTATTGTTACTGTTACCGTCACTAGTAATACTGGCCAAACTTAGTGAGATAACTTAGGACTACTTGACTAACAAAACATAAGTAGTTAGAAACCACTAATTTGCAGCAGATTTCGCTATCCGAATCCAAGTGAGTTAAACATCACATGAGCACTTTGACCTCCCGAAGCGAAATTCAGTAGTAATTTACCGGGAGAAATTCAACTCAGAGAAAAGCGCAATTGTTCAGATCGACTGAATCCGATTAGTGAACACGGATGGACTGGTATACCGCAAAAACAGAGATCAGTTTGCAAATGTTTTACAAATTATACAATTCAGGCTTACATTTCTCTCAGATGAATAATCTTCCAACTGCCCAACTATAGTCTCAATAGGATTTCTGTTGAAAACTGCTTTTACCAATCAGAAGTTCATAGAAAAGGATGTACCATAAAATGTAAAAGACATTAGGGGAAAAACTTGGAAAAACAATAGACAGGTAGGAAGCGATAACTCACTGTGAATATCCTCTGTACACAGTGGCGTAGGATCCTTCTCCAAGGACATCTAGTTTCTGATATGAATCAACGCATCCGAAACTACGTGATGAAGACGAACGATTATGAAGTATTCTTTTGGGTGACTGAGAATGGGATTGAGGAGTACTATTGGTTGATGGAAATATACAATCTTCGCTGGTTCGTTGAGATGAAATATATTTGCCACCACCAACAAAACGTGAATTTACTGATTTGTTAATGGGTGCTGGTGAGCGTCGAAAAACACCATTAGCAGTTGTAATATTTGTTGTATCAACCTGTGAAGGTGAACGCAGTATATTTGGATCGCGTAGGTTGAGCAGACCAGCCAAACGTAGTTCTAAAAAATACCAATCATGAATTAGCATGTGAATGTGGAAGCGACAAGCGAAAACCTCATGGGAAATTAATACCGATCCATTCTTTAATATTCTGAGAAACATGCAAACCGAAAAGAAGATAAAACTACAGAGAAGAAAATAAATGGCAATGCAGGTAAAAAAAAACGGCGAAATATATATAACACTTGAAAGCATATGATAAAGAGAAATTTTATCAATCCATTTTAAGTATAGTCATTCGTTAAAAAGACTACATACAGTGACACATCTTACAGTGTTCGATATCGAAACTTTGACAAGTATTCAATGGGAAACAGGAAGGTGTCAAGTATTCACCAGATTTTTAAACAGGAATATCAGAAAGGCGATTAAAGAATAAGCATCCTACAGTTTTACAACGAAGTGAGGATGAAACAAACTTGTGTTCGATTCTCAGTTATAAGGGGTTGGATGTGGTAAGACATATTAAGTAAAAAAACAAAAGCATCATCTCCGAAATTCCATATTACTTCACCAGCAATATAAGTACCAGATTCGCATAAATGTTAGAAATATCCAGCGACAAAATGATGTCATTTAAGTTTCTTTAAAAACTTGGTATCGCAAAGTCATCAGAAAATATGCCATAGAAAACAAAATACAGTGTAAGGAAGGAGAGGAAACGAGAACAGTAGTGAAGACAGAAATGGGATATCAGAGGAGTAGTAAAAAGCATACATACAAAGCAGCAATCGCTACTTCAGTTTTAGCAACAGAAATAAAAGTGGTGCTGTATAATCCCTGTTGGTTTCTATTTGGAGCAATTATTGGTATCATCTAAAGCCACAGATGGATATATTAACACACGACCACATATAATTGCCTCATGATCCAAGAAGCCACACATCTTATCAGCATATCAAGCGAGAGTTCACTAAGATTAAAGATAGAGAAATAAGGAAAAAAGCAATAAAAATTGCAAGAAAGTCATCGGAAGAGAGAAAGTAGGAATGGGAGTACTGCAATTCATCGACAATTAAAATGAAGATAACGTAAAAACATATCTGCGCCGCTGATAGCGATTCTGAGCTATACCATCTCTAGTCTCTAACCATCGGGTTTTCGCTACTACGTGGACCTCAACGAGGATATCTACATTTTCCTACACACCTCAAACCAACCAGTCAGGGACTTCATGGACCGATGCCATGCTTTGGTCTGGTAACCACTAACCCCTTTCCAGCCAAAACAAAACCCACTCCAGTTAACACTGCATGACGAAGCTGACGGGATGCGTTAATAACTTCATCGACTGACATCCTGCTTCTACTTAAAACTTCACACCTGACTTCGACGTTAATGTGATGGAAAGATAGGCATGGTCTATGCTAAGAAGGTAAAGGTGGTCGAACACCGCAAGCCTTCCCATATCCACTACCTTTAATAGTCATGTTTCGCAGGGATATCAAAGGAACTACAGCACAGTACAATCGACCCTTAACAGACAACCGGATATCACAGCAGCCTCAGAAATGGCGGAAGTTGACGAAAGCCAATCGAGTATTTCCCATCTATGCAGAGATTTCGTCGGTCACTGATCCACCAAGGCTGGTCAACGCGCTCAACTATTTCACTCGCTATTCCTATCCCAGTCACCAGCGAACACCAGTCCTGTTACAACAATTTACGTTTGGGTAGTGACAAACGCATACCAAACATTATCAAATTGGGACTCAAGGTGTCCACAAGACCCTGAACCTTATCAGCGTTTTCATACTATAGAATTGTCATCTGCCTAATCTAGATCTACCGAGGATTCTCATGTGACAAAACCAATGTCTATAAAGGCAGACGAGGAGACCTCTGTAAGAACGTCTACGATAAAGTCGAATAAGAATAGGGAGAGTGGACGTCCTTGATGGACACCACACAACATACATAACTCACCTGATAAGCCACTATAAGCTTTGGTACGCTCACGGAAGCTGGAATACATTGCCTTCAACAGAGTGGTTTACTTACCTCGTGCCAATTTCAGTGAAAGACACTTCCACAACATCCCTTGATCAAAAGAGTCGAATGCCACCATCAGATCGAGAAAACCACCTGGTGTTGGTGAGTGTGCAAGTGTTTCAGAACGGAGTGTGAGTATCTGACCGACCCAACCATAATCAGGTCTGAAATCTACCTGGCCTTCTAGAGTTCAGTGTTTCCGAACACCACTCACACTGTTAATACGAAAAGAGCCTAAGATCTTAGATACTTTGTTCGTCAGGCTGATTCCCCAGTGGCTACCACAGAACGATTTTTCACCGTTCTTGAAGATCGGGACAATCAATCATTGAGACTAGTCAGAGCAAAACATATCTGACTCCAATACACTAGCTAACACCAGTTAATCTTACTAAGATTACTCGATCAAAGTCCTAAGATGCTTCCGGCACCACTCCATCTTCTGACCCTGCTGACCTTCCTTGTTTCAGGTTACTTAAAGGTTTCTCGACACTAGAAAGTATTGGAGGCCCTATTTCAATGTTTCATTCAAGATTCAACCGGACAGCGGTCAACGGAAGAATAGTCGAGGGAAAGTTGAACTCTTCCTCAGTTATCCGCTCATCGTTTGAGTCTTCCATACTAACAAGAATCACAAATTCATTCTTCTCCACAATAGCCATTGCTTTTTTTTGCCCCATTTTCTATGTCTAAATAACCATTTTCTGTTACTATCACCACTATCTTTCCTATCTCTTCAGCCTTTGTTGCCCATCACTGCTTATGGTCATTGTGTAGATCTCCCATCAGTCTGTATTCGGGTTACTTCCAACCATCATCGTGTTCGGAGCCTTCAAGAATGCGTTCACAAACATCGACTAATTTAGAAGAGGTTGCTGAGATCCACTGGCTTTATCTCATCACTTGTTGAAGGTCAGCTACTGTCTTCAACACTGTTCTTAAAGCAGACTGGAGATGGCACCAGCCCTCTTCCGATCGAGTAAGGCTCTTCCGTTCTGATAATTGTCTAGCCAGTTCTTCATTAAAAGGAGCTTTGGTATCTTCATCATCGAGCTGTACTCGCAATGGTGTTGTTATTGTTGTGGCTTTCGTATGACCATTAGAGCTCAAACATACACGCGATTGAAGCCTGAACATTTGGTTTGGAAAGAGCGGCAATCTTCCAAGGATCCTCTTCACAAGTGGCTGGTAGCGATATGATCTGTGACGCCATGATTTCTTACATCTTGATAAAGACGTTATGAAGTACCAAAAGATTCCGATCAAATAAAACTACTCTCCATTGCAAAGTGTTTTATCATACACTGACAACTCTTTCTCCAAGTAGTCGCAAGATGAACGAAGAGTGAACGAAAAAGTGGTCTTTAGGGTGAAATTTCTAAAACATGTTCAAGCCTTTGAAGCTGAGGTCTCAAGATGATATCACTCAATAGATGACGATTTATATTGTGCTCAAATACGGATCTAGCAAGAAGGTAGGTAACAGATGGTAAATGGATCAACAATCTGGATAAAACCCGCCTAGCTCCTCATGAGTAAGCCTTTCAAACATTTTCGTCAACCTGTGAAGTATGATAGCCGCCAATATTTTAGAAGCTGCTGGTAGCAGACTGCTTTTTCGATGACTATCATATACGTTAAGCGAACCCCTCTTATGGATGGGTACTGCAATGATTTAGCCCCTCAACCTTTTTAGTCAGCTGCATGACTACAATCCTATCTCCATCCTTAAAAAGATACGGGGTTACTTTCTCTAAACTAGGTGCCTTATGGCGCTTCGAAATCTAGGGTTCCCTTCAGGTCTGCTCTTCGTTAGGTTGGTCAGTATTAACTCACAATACCAAAATCAGTACCATAGAATCAGTAAAAAATGAGACATTACAGGTTTCTTCTTGACTATGAGCCACAACTACTGCGTGAATTCTCTTCACATTATTTGGCTGTCTAGGCCGAAGTAGATTGCGTGGTAAGTGAAAGTCAAACGCTTAAGTTAAAGAGCTACAGAGTAAACTAAGTGAGACAGACATTCACAAGACTTGATTATTAACAATGAGGGACTATCCAATTATGAAACATGAAGGAGATCCAAGGAATCCTGAGAATTCAATTCGACGTTATCTTATTTAATAAATCAAACACAGTTTATGGATATCCAAACCCAGTTGGGACTTAGTGTTTTGGAAAAATTTGGGTATTGGGTGAATGAAAACAAAACAGATTTAGTTTGTTTTATACTCATTGGGAGATACAAATACCAAAATAATAAGTTATAAGCAACTAAAGTTCTTCACGCTAAATTTTACCATCACGTGAGTCTATATTTCACAAAAAATGAATATATTGGGTGGCTAGAGTATGAAAGTGGTGGTAGAAACCTGTCTCAAGTTCTAAGTTGAGACTTAATCACCGCCAACAGAAAAGCACCGGTCCGTATTGCTTCGTCAGATTAAATTAGTTGCATTAGGAATGTCATAAGCCATCTAGTCACAAATGTACTGAGAATGACATACGATATGTTTAATAAAGTGAAAAATATCAGAAAACGAAACAAGAATCCTATCTCTTTAACTATTTGGATTTGATTAAAAATGAGGTTTTAAAGTGATTTAAAATTTTTTAAGTCTATCTACGGTGGGCAGTAAAACCTATAATATTTTCAATCTGGACAAATGGATGATACTTGGAACTGCTACACAATAGGTGTGATTAGGTGTTTGCACCAGTAATCAGCAAATGATACTTATCTATATAACAAAAATAATCACAGAGTAACAGGTACAAAAATTACCTTCAGAATGTGGACGACTCATAAAGGAGCTTGGAGAGATTTTCATAAAGCCATCATTTACGTCTGTATTGGATTTGGAATGCTTTGATTTACGTGAACGTGACTTAACCAAACCGCTTTGTGTTTCACCGGTGTGACGACTGCTACGCAAAAAGTTACGATGTCCTTTTACTTGTTTCACAGTAGTTGGTCTAAGCAGAAGAACAAAGAAAAATTACTATATACTTGACGTCTAGACAATAGTAAAATTCAGCAAAAAAATAAGCTTATGAAACTCAGGTTCGTTTGTCACTTTTCTTCTACATACTGTATATGACACCATTTTGCGCATTGTAACCATTGAAAAATTTAGTTATGAATTGTTATGTATATTTCAACAGGAGAACGACAAAACTATTCATTACTTTTATATGTAAATAATGTACACAGTTGTGCGTAAGCGAATACGAACACATGTAAACACAACATCTAACCCACTTTGTGCCAACAAGTTAGAAAATGTCAACAATTTTTTGTATCCTCTGCATAATAATGTAATTTCACCGATCTCATCCAACGTAAGCAACACAATCCAAGTACAGTTAGTATTCTAAGCTTCAGATTCTACACGAAAATAAACCGATATACACAACGGACAGTATCATAGAATTACTCAACACAAATTGTAACCAAAACAACCACTAGGGATTTATGATGTCCTTGTTTATTTCATTTACATTGCTTTTGCTCACTCTCCGGTCACATCGCCTTGCAATTATAGTGGCTGAATTCATAGTAAGATAGAGAGTTTCAAAGTGACCGGACTAAAAAAGAAAACTAATTCACGAATACCAAACCATTATGATCCTCATCTGGAGCTACATATCTATTCCACTGTAGTATCGATCTCATGTGGTCAATATCCAGTGATTATTACAAATATAAAGTATATACTTCTTGAATGAGATCGGTAGAATAGTAGGAAGTAATGTTATTAACCTCGATTGATACTAAACGACAGAGATATGTAGTGAAGGTCTATTCATAGTTCTTTTTATTTAAACCTTAGACGTTTTATTTTTCTGGATATAACTTAATCCTATTTTACCTTACCCAGCCTCTCACTCTGCAACCAATGCCAACGATCAAAGCCATCTAAACCCCATTTCCAGTCTCCTAAAACCCTGCCCACCATCGATTTCATGTAGGAGCTTTCAACGTCTGGACTCTATGCCAGATCGGACAGCAAGCATCACTCGCCAAAACTCTGAAATCTCTAGCCATGGATGCGTGATGTATCTCTGAGACACGTATACAGGACCCGAGTGTCATTATTAAATTAGGGGATGCCGGATAAGGTTGAAAGAGGGTACAGGGTAGCCAGACCGAGATTTTGCACTAGTTGATGAAGTCTCTGACTGTCGGCCTGAAATGGGTAAGAAGATGTCGACTGTCTGGTTGTAGTCACCGACAAGAAAGGAATCACTGATTGAGGATTCTTAGTGACGTGGCTGAAAATGGCTCCCAGTGGAGCAGAAGTATTCACTCCTTGACATCTAAAGCCTGAATATTGGCACCATTTGTTATTTTCAAATTGTTCATTCTTTAATACAACTTTTTCGACTCTGATACCACCGTTTTTCTATCCACTTGTTCTTTGTGTACTACTGTGAAGTGTGGCAACTTGAGCCAATGAACCTTTGTGTGAGGTTCTACATTGATTTCATCATTCTCTACTTCACACGTCCTTTGCCTAACTGCTCTCTTACCACTATTTTTTAAGTCGTTTATGTCAGTCTCTTCCTTGAGCGATGTTGATGATTGCAGAAACTAGTAAATACCTTATTTTCCCAGTGTGTCGTTTCAGAAGGTCGATGACTCATTTTATTTGTTGACAGGTACATTTTTTTAATAATCAAGTTCAAAGATAGGTAAAAGCAAAACTGGCACAGGTACCCAAATCCATGATACCTTCAATTAAAAAGGAGCGAACATCATGATTACAAAGTATTCAAAAACTAAGCGTATCAAGTAAGCTACATAAGATTAATAAAACCTTGATTTAAAGCCTTATAAGCGTGATCACTCCTAATCTTACTTCAAATTCGCTGTTTTGAACACTAAGAGCATAGATGAAAAATTAATATACTGAAATGTTAGAATGTTACTCACGTAGCAGTGCTGGATGGATGATGATGAGCAAGTTGAGGTTTTGGTACTGTATTATTCCCAATAACTACCCCTGATACAAGAGAATTCCAAAAGCCTGCTAGTTTGGAAGTTGAAGAAGAAACTGAACGCGGTCTCGGTCGCGAGTGTGATTTTTTATCTGTAACTCTTACAACACACATGGAGCCTAATGGTGACTCATTAGGAAAATCTCGTTTCAGATGGCTAGATGATGTGCAATGACTATGAGCAGAGTGCATAGGGCGACTGAGACGTCGTCCATTGCTACCGTCAAGATTTTCCCAGTTCACATCTGTCTCGGGTTCAGAGGCAATGTTTGCAGGAGGCGTATAGGAGAATCTCGATCTTCTTTTGGATACTCGAAACCTGCTCAATTTACGAGCTGGATTGGGTTTAGAAGAAGATGGAGAAGATTTACCTATCCCGCTGCTTAGGTCCTCCGAATGCTGATGAGAAAGAGAAGCTCGGTTACTGGTCACGGCCACGTTTTCTTCACTGCCTGATGCTGTTATACCTGAGCTTGAAGCAAGTACACTGCCTGTCGAATGATGCCAACGTGCACGAGCGATTCGGCGGTAACTGGCTGACCTTGATGTACCAGCGGCTTGACTTGGATGAATTCTCCCCAAAAAAATATCTAAACAATAAATCAATAATAAGGAAAAACCATATTATAAAGAGGGAATAAATATGTTAGAACTTTGCGAATTGAATTAACATACAGTGTATACACTGGTGAAGTTTACGTTCAAAAACATGCAGAAACAAACCAGTTGAATTACGATAAATAACATAAAATTTGGGTATATCTAAGCCGTAGTGACTGATTTCCCGTCATCTTGATAACTGTCTCTTTTGGCAGTAAAATAATCAACACAAGACAAGTTAGTGCACTGGTCACAGTGCAACCTGCAGTAAATTTGACCATTTGTTATGAACAGTCTGTTCATTAGTGCAAGGGAATATTTTTGATTTTAAGTGCAACACGTTGTTAGCCTTTGACTGTTAGTTTGCATAGCATCTAGTCTCGACATCTTTCAAGCTAGAAAATATCACCAAACCTCAGAAGTTTTTCTGACTCAGAAATTCATAAAAATCATGTGATCACACATAATTTCTTCGATAGGGAAAGTGCAAACGTTCATGATAACTTTACGAAACATTCTTGAGAGTCACCTTCATATATCCAGAACAGGTGCTGGGTCATTCCTTTTTCATGCATTTGACATTGATTCGATGAAGAGAGATTCGGCTATCAATCTCTCCCTAAATCTTACCAATTTATTTTTAAAGATTGTCACTCTGTACCATCCTAGTAATTTGAATTGCATGAATAGCTGGCAGTGGAGCTTTTTTCTACACTCATTATCTTACTACGTCTACCGATTTTGATTCCGTTAGGTTTTTGTGCATGGATAGCCTAATGGACCAGAGACAACTACTTTGACCTATGTATTTGAGCTCACAATCGTCGCAAGAGATTTGAATAAACTAAATTATACTGCCTAATTCGATTGATAGAATCTTTTAACCTTCAAAGTTTGTTTTTAAGTGAGTTTTACTCGTATAATACCTGAAAACACGGGTGTTTGAGTACACAGTATTCAACAGAGTCACTTACCCTGCATCCCTTTTATTGAAAGACACTGCCATAGTACCTCTTGGTTCACGGAGTCAAATACGGTTTTAAGGTCGAGAAATAAGCCCAGTGTCAGGCGTCGGTAAGTATGCATGTTTTTCAAAACCTGACAGGTAGTAAAAATCTGGTCGATACACCCACGGTTAGGTATGAAACCTGCCTGGTTTCCTCGTGCTCACTGTTCCCGGGCTGCACTTACAAAGAATCTTAGACGCTGTGTTCATCAGGCTGATTCCTTTGCGATCAACGAACACTGGCACAGTAAGAAATGACATCACAATAACAAAAAGGGAACGAAGATAACTTATTAGTACTATCCAACGTTTGACCGCAGTAATCAGAAAGTAGCATACCTACAGTCTTCTTTGATCTGACGACGGATGATTATTGATTAATGACACAAAAAGTGTCTATGAAAACATAACTGCAAAAAGACTTATGGATTCTGGTTAGTAACTTGTCATTAATCTAAATACATCATTCTTTTTTAAGCAATAGACATGATTACCCAGAAAGTCAAATAGACATATCAAAGTAAGATTTTTCAAAGAAACACTATTCATTTGCTCTTCGATTCAAAGCAGCAGGAGTGGGTTCAGGGTGGCAAAACAAAGAAGTGACACTAGCCGATGAAGTCCCTGACTTCTGGTCTGAGACGTGTAGGGAGATGTAAACTACTTCGCTGAGGTCCACGATACGGTAGGAATCAGTGGTTGAGGACTCTTGGTAACATGGCTGAAAATCACAAACAGTGACGCGGGTGTTTTCACTCTTTGACGTCTTCTAAAGCTTGGACGTTTGCACTAATCGGTATCTTCAAATTGTTTATTCTCTCATACAACTATGTCTACTTTTATGTTACCCTTTTTCTATCCACCTGTTCTTTGTATACTGCTCTGAAGTGAGACAACTTGGAGCGGTGCAATTGTATGCGAGTTTCTACGATGATTTTGTCTGTCTATCTGAAAAAATCTTTTTCAGTGGCCCTGTCTTAGTGAAAAAGGAAAACCTATTGCACGACTTTTGCCTTTAAAGATGATGTCTATGATCTGAATATAGGGCATGAGTCACAATAGCAGTCAGTCTGAATCAACGTGAGGTCTGACAGTACTGCGAAACGGTTCGAGTTGCCACATCTCATATCAGAACACCAAGCAAAAGTGGATAAATTATTCACTGTGATTCCGACCACTTATTGGTTACTATAGACCACTATTACGACTGAATTTCTAGTAATCATGGGTCGGATTTTCGGAAAATGGGGATATTTCTGGGTTATTTATCAAAAGGATGACAGGTGAAAAAGTTAGTCGCAAAACAACAAGCAGTCACTTCGATAACAGCCTGCGTACTTATAAAAGATACTTAAATCTACATTTATGATGATATTTACCTACAATTATATGACTTCTCACTGACTAATTCCGTCAAAGCTTATTTAACAATCTAAGCTATATCTTTTACAACTGAATGCGCAATGAACTGAGCTAAGCATGTTCTTTTCCAAAAACGAAAAATTATATGAAATATTCATAGTAAAATTAATAAAAATCAGGTTTCGCTTAGATACAATTCTCGTTTTAAATCATACAATAATTCAAACTAAAAACACCAAATGATAACAAATAAAGCAGAGGTGTTTTTGCCTATATGCAAAGTATATACTACCACCTAGTGTTGCCATTATGATAAAACAAGCGTGCAATCCACATAAGGCACAGCACAACAAGAATTACATTGTAAAATAGCTAAATAGTCATACCTTGAATGATGTTAAATACCTTACACGCTCATACATATATACATACGTATAGTCCCCTATATACGCAAAAGATTAACAAGTACGCATGGTTATAAAAGTAATTTTCTAAGCAGGAAATAAGAAATTTGCACTAACATGAAATAATCACTGTCTTTTTCTCTAAAATCTTTTTCCCCCAGACCAAACATTAGAAGAAACATTAGGGAACAAGGAAGAAATCAGACTAGTTAACATGTGCACTTTAATATTTTTCTTAGCCTAACACATGTGCATACAAACTGCAAAATGGTATGACATAATGATGTGTTAATTTTTCGGGTAACACAAAAAGAAAGACGTAGAAGAAAAGTAATGCTACTGATTTGCAAGACGGTGAATATCAGTAAACCACTATCAATAAATGCCAAATACACAGAGTGAATATTTTACGAAATTATTTAAAATGTTAGTCAATGATAAGGAAGAGTCACAGCACTTTCATCGAATGCAAGTCACTTCTGCAGACAGGTGAAACGAAAGTATGTTTACAGCTTAACTGTAACAGGTGTCTAAAACTGAGTCAATAGATTGCCAAAAGACTTACTATGATGGACAAATAGAAATCCAACTTATTTGAGGGATAATAAAGATTGCAGTTTCCTTCAAAAACCTCGATGACATTAGTAAGGCACATGTTTCTAGGTCTACAATCTTTATTGTAGGATTCACCATAAAAATATCATAATCTATCATTCATGAGATCCAAAAAAATACTGATTAAATATTTGAGCTACGTCGAAACCGTGTTAACACCCACACTCCATTCCCGATGTCATTAGTCTATCTAGACAAATTATAGACTAAAGTAATACATAAATAGTTCGGTATTTCAAAGGAAAGAGAAAGAAACATGAATAGAATAAAAATCTACTCAGTAACCTAGTGCATATTCGTACCGTAGTCAACGACCCATGTCTATTGTGTGAGGGCGTACACCTCCGCAGGTTAGAACCTGTAACCCATCGGTTGGAAATCGAGTGTCTAGACCAATTAAGAATGAGTAAATTGTATATCATACACAAAAATTTTGACTTCACTTGAAAATACAGTGCAGAATCATTCCGGAAACATTTAGTTCCACTTAGTATAAATGAAGTAGCTGACTATTTACCAATCAAATTGTCTTTTTCAGTTTTGGAAAAGTAGTTTTTCAAAAAGAACTGTACCAAAATTTTAAGATGTTGTGAAGTGTAAGCGATAATAACACTAATAATATTAAGTGCACGCAACAAGAGCACTACATAAAACTGGTGTATACAATTGTGAGCTATATCCATTGTATAAAAAAGAAAAAGAAAAACTATCCAATTACTCAAACTAAAAAGGACAGAGAGGCAATTACACCTGTGACCTCACAGTTGAGCAATAAAGTAAATTAGAGACCGTGTGCAGGTTTGTGTACTAGGTTGTGAGCCAAACCTATTGTGAAAGAGCTAACATTATTACCTGAATTTCCGAATTTCGTTAATTACAGTGGGAGTTTTACAGTATTCACTGGTCGAAAGTTACAAGCTTAAATAAAGGAGCGACGTTTGATGAGTATCCCGAATACACAGTTGGGGCTAGATTTTAATCAACAAATAAGGATAAGTTTGTAAAGACCAGTGAGGAATAACATATAAAGGGCAATAAAGTGATCCAGAAACGAAAGATTTTCAAAAGAATTCAGTCACAATTGCTTGGATTTTTGTGCAATGCACAAGAATTTACAAAATATTAGACCACATACGAAGTAACTTACAAAAATGTTCTAAGGCAAAGCGATTGCAATTAATTAAGAGTCAAAACATTCAACAACGGAATTCTAAATTACTTTTGGATTGAACGTGATAAAACTTAAATCTAAGACGCATAAAACTATAATTCCATACTACGATAGTTACGTAGATAACTCACTCTATCCCATTAGATCAGAAAGTGTCTGAATTTCAGCACCGTAAGCTTCATAACATAAGGTCGACAAAGCTTTTCTGGCAGTCAAATGAACGGTTATTTTTTTCCTTGATTATTGTATCGCTTCTTAGATCAAAACAGAGATTTTGTAAATGACACTGCATATCATTATGGGCACTAAATTAGTGAGATATCAAGTATGAAAACAACTACAACCAACAACTACCATTTCTGAAACACATGACACTGAGAAACAATGAATGCCGAAAATTGACGTTTTTAAGACTGCAGTAGATTGAACTAAGTCAATTTTCCATAGACCATGTTGATCTGTATATTTCTGATTAAAAATACAGATTATGTAGCAAAATATAAAATCGTTAACCACTTACCTCTAAAACTACGAGCTAAAGAGGGACCCGAAGAATCACGAGTAGTAACGATCGGTAAGTTAGTAGCGTTTATTGAAGACGGAGGTAACGTCTCCGTATTTGTTCTAGTAGTGAAGATTTGATTTATTGGTATTGATGAGTGATCACGTGATGTTGAGGTCATATTTGTGCAAGGTGTCGGAGAAGGTTGATTTGTAAGAATCGACATTGTGCCAGAACAAAAACTCTGTCTTTGTCTATTAAGTTGAATTGACGGGATATTTTGGTGTTGCATGTACATTAGTCTTCTGGCGCTTGGACCGGGACAACCCACACCACTGACACTACTGGAAACTAAACGATTTGCTTCATCCACACGAACGCTTCTATTAGTATCCTCAAGAACCAAATGGAGGTCATCCGATGTGTAGTCAACATTAGAACCAAAAGGATACAGAGGCACATCACCTACCTCTCCACCTGGTCCCAAACTTACTGTGGGACCAAGGATTGAAGAAGAGCTCGACAAAGCATAAATATTCATAGAAGAAAAACTTCTTGGAGGTGCGCCAGATGCCCCTGTTTCCTATGAAGTAGATAAAAAAGTAAAGACATGAATCTCAACCACTAGTAAAGGAATGATATTTGTAATTGAATAATTAGGTAGCAAATTAAGAATTTGTTCACGCCCTCTTTAATAATTCAATTAAATCAATGGTGATACAGACATTTTATGACTAATGTGTATCTTCAATACCGGTGGAACTCATACTGAGTTGCGGTTCCAAACTGCTTTGCTCAATCCTTGTTCTGATGAGCTGTTCAAATATATCTGCATCATTACAGAAAAGCTTTCGAGAAGTGTCATTGAAGACTTCGACTCAGATATAACTTGCTGTTCCAAATATTGATGTGAAGTCGACTAATAATTCCCATACATCTCTACTTGAAAGTCATATATGCGTTAATTTTTTATATCGTGTGATAATTGGCGTTTCTTTTAATCATAATGACACTGTGCATATTTTTCAATGAAACAACCAAAGGGAAAAAGAAGAGTTAAAGCTAAGTTTAAGCCCAGCTTTAACGATATCAGAAAAGTACAAACAGCGCATCAAAAAAAATGAAATCAACGAAAATTGGGTCACAGTCTGAATAAAAACTCACATGTATTGATATAATGACAATAAGTCGCTGAAAAACATGCGCATTTTATTGCTGGAAGAGTAGTTTTGAATTTTTTCAATTTAGGATACTTTTTTTGCAAAATGAATTTTTTCCAGTGATCAGATCAAGTTAACAGTTTAAGCACACGAATAAAAATAAAACACCATCCAGTTCAAACTTTACTATAGACATTAACCAACAATACCGTTCTCACTCAAAGGAAAATTTAATCAAAGCCATTGCTGCTGACCAGAGCAATGAAGAACGTGACCTAATACTACGCCAGTTTAACGTACCATACAGATACTTCATACAGAAAAAAGTCGATCAGAAAGGCAAAACAAGAGAAACAAAATGAACAACGTATGGCGAAATTCAGCCAGCATAGTAATGAGACTTGGCATTACTGCCTAACGGTTGAATTCGCTACATATTGTATCAGTAAATCAATCAAGAAGGCACCAAAACGAAAGACAGGGAAGTAAGAAAGAAAACATTCAAAAGTGGGAAGTCGGCAAGGAACAATGAGAGAACACTGATATTCAGTTTGACGATTAAGATGAAGATAATATGTAGATGAATCTGTGCCAGTAACATCGATTCTGATCCGTATCACCGACAGTTCAACCACTAGTCTATGTTGTCACATGGACCACAAGAGGCAAGGCTGTATTTCCCCCCCCCCCTTCATTGTTCATACCAACAGTCAGAGACTTTATACAATGATGCCCTTTTAGTATGACCACCTCTAAACGTTTTGCAGCCTAAACTTACTTCAGCTAACATTGTGCAACAAAGCAAACGGTGACTAGGAATGCGTAAAACATGCCACAGCCAACTTAGTCGATGAAGATTCGTAACCTCATTGACTGAATTCCCTCTTCTATCCTTAACATGGTGACACCAAAACATACCCAATACTACGAAGGCAACGGTAGTCAAACAACTGAAGTCTTTTCATATCTTCCGCTTTTCAATGACCATGAACGAAGAAAAAACGGATTCGCTATGATGACATGAGTGCATCTGTGCTTTGTAATCGTCGTTTACACATGTTACTGAATGTCTTTATCAGAACTCTGGACATCCCGGTGATTCCTCTATAAATGAACAATACTTCAAAAACCCTTATACTCCAAAAGGCAGTCTGCTCTTCATGTTCACACTTATGGGTAGTATTTCACAAGCACATGAAAAGCTATGCACTTACCAACTTTGATGAGGAATGATACAATAGGGCTATGGGTTAAAAAGTGCCAAAACACTTTCATTAGTATTTCAAAATTTCGTAAGTGATGCGTTCACAAAGACTAATTTGAGTACTGATTAAAATCTTGCAGAAAATATACTCATTATCGTCACATTATCGTCTATGATCAAATAAGTCATATGTACGAACAATTGTAAGAATCTTAATTTAGTTGTGGATGGGTACGAAGAATATTGTAATGGAAAATATGTTACTAATACCTGTTTATCTGCTTCTCTTAAACTGGCATTTTATCTCAGTTAAAGTTCAACAGGTCACGTATACAAAACAAGAGATAATATACTATGTAAACAAGGAATAAAGAACTGCTGATGATTGAAAACTAGTGCCCATTAGTGGTCATTAATCTGAAAATCAGCTAAAAGAATAGGAAAACTATCGATTCATCTTACAATACACCCGATTACAGAACTACCTACAAATAACTTTTACATTATATATATATATATATATATATATATATATATATATATATATATAACTAGGGTCCTGTGTATAAAAGCGATTAGTCTACACTTATCCAAAACGACTAAAATCGACAGTGAATGATTTCATGAACTGTTATGTCTTGATCTGATGTCACTTTTAGTTTACTGTTGACTTTTCGTAAATAAGATAGTAATATATCCAGATTACTAAAAATGATGAAAACAGTCTTTTATTGTAAAGAAAAAAGCCAGAACTCGAAAATTTGCTTCAAGCTAGTATCCTTAGGATTTTTCGAGAACAAAAAGACTGAAATCTAACTTAGTAACCACAGAGTCGCACATTATGCGGTGAGCCATATCTATTGTCTGAGTGTAGATGATACTGTATGGGTGCTTAAACGTAGTTCGTGATGGCCAGCTTCGAGCCTGTGATCTATTAGTTGAAAGTTAACTAGAAAAGAAGGTTGTCACAAAGCAGTATTTTATGGTGACATATTTATGACTTCTATATCAGTCTTATTTGTCACAAACCATTGCCTCATGTTTTTAATAAAAACGGTTTGGACGTATGTATTATACAGACAAGATAAATCTGATTAAGGTAATCAACGATTTAGTAAGCAGTGAACCTTAAGCGGATTTGCGGTGTTTAACCACAGAATAGTAACTTAACCAACAGCTGTTAAACAGATTACTGTTACTGTTATAATGGAATAATGCATGTGCATATAATAAAGATATTTTTTGTTGTTTATGTTTCAAGAGTCATCAGACGACATGAAAGGTGACCAGCTTATCATAAGATAACTGACCACATGACTGGAATAGATGAGTCACTTAACGTTTTGTATATTGTGCGAATTAAGCAAAAATAACAAACCAACATTTTAACCAATGAAAAAAACCAATTAGGTACATTTTTATAGCAAATGTAAAACATGCGAAAATAAAAAGTGGGATTATTAAAATAGGAGAAAGAGGAGAAGGAGGCAGACTTTTTATGACACTTACAACCAATAATTGTAATCGATTAATTTAAGCTTGTTGACTTCGCCGAAATTATTGTCGCACAAAGAGATTAAGTTATGCAAACAACCCAGTGCAGAAAACTGATGACTGTCTGATACTTCAGTACATACACAAACATCAAAAGCTACAATGTGCTACAATGTGATTACTTATACTCAGTTTCCAACCCATAGTAATGAGATGAATGATAACCCTCTGATTCCATCGACTGCTAAATCAAAGTATATATTTAACCTTAAGTAATTCAGCGTAACACTCCAGAAATTCAACAGGTCCCAAAATATTTGAGTTTCAAGAAAAGTAAAGAGAGGTAAGAGTGAAAACTGACATTCATTTGCTGGCTATTTGTTTGAATGTAAGAGGTTGTAAACTACTTGTTTTAGAGTTCGTGAGACCATAGTCACAGTTAATTCAAAACTCGAGATGATATGTATAACAAAGGATCGCAGTGCTTCAAATGTGTTGATGTATTTTCTTCCTCCAAATGTTGAACATATTGTGCTATTTTTATTTTTTCACTCTATGATCTAAATGTAGAGTGCCATGACAGGATTCCGAATGAAACAATCAACAGTAACATAGAACCCTATGAAACTGATATCGTCTATGATCCTTGGAACCAGTAATTTACAACAAGCCGGAAATAAAATTGGGTCAAGTTTATTGGAAGCGCGAGAGATGATTAAAAGACACCAAATGCATTTGTATTTACAAGTATTTCCGAATAATTCTAAAGGGTAGACCAAACTTTCTTGTGGAGTTAGATAATTCCAAATAAGTGGTTAAAAGTAATTCTTATTCACAGTAGTTCTAGACAAAATTTGTGAAAAATAAAGATGATTTTAGGCATGTTCTTACTCGCTTACTTCTTTTTTTCTCATGCCTTTCCATTTGTTTTTAGTTTTTTTGCTATGATGTTGTGAAGTATGCAGCCTGAATCGATACACTATTGACTACGTTCTAAACTGTCATATATGTCTATTCATATCATTCAGAAACATTACTCATTTTTGAACACACCTAGATTTTTAAAGTTTTAACCAATAAAATACATGAATGTCAATTGTAATTTGTACAACGAACAACTAGTGTAACTCACTAATTATCCCGTCTTTGAGCCCAAAAGTACTACTTAAAAATCCTAATGGGTAAAATAACTACTGATATGCGAGTACATTTACACAGTCAAAAATGGAATGAGATAAGCACCTTGGATTTTAGTGCGAGTTATTACCAGAGAAGTGTAGAAACAGTTTAGTTATATTTCTGATAACTAGGTATTTTATTCTACAAAAGTTACTCCCAGTTGCGCTAACGATCTCATTTCCAGACGACCACATTAATGTCATCTACAAAATACGCTTATAGCTCATTGCATACGACTTTACATGGTTGCTCAGTTAGGTTTTTACGAACTAACGACGATAGTCAAATATGCAGGCAAACACAAGTCAGCTATAAAAAAAAGACGTCTTTCCTACCATGTAAGTAAGCAGGATAGGTATGTAAGAGTACTCGATAGTTAAATGCATATGTAGATGCACTGCACAGTTGACCACATACCTGCAGTGAAAACGCATGTTAGTACCTGGATATCTAAACCCTAATGGGTAGATTAGGCTTCGAACTCGAGATCTAGTGATTGAAAACTAAGTCATTTAACTAGTGGGCTACAAGTCCACAGGTATGCAA